CTGCCTTCCGGTTAGGCTCTTGTCAGAACTAAAGGCTTTGGAAGAGAACCCTAATCGTTCTCCTGCTTAGTGGCTGGACACCGTAGCAGTGCCCTTCCATCAATATGAATTGATATGAATTAAGGAGGCCTAAGCTCAACTCAAGACAAGGAGTTAGTTTATTCAACTTAATGGTGTATATTCCGTAGAAGTAGCAATACAACTGAGCAAACGGCCTCCAACAAGCAAGGACGTGATCATTCTCGCTTGGGAAGCACGTTCTCCATAGAACGCTACTCACTGTGGCATGGCGAATGTGACCCACTAAAATAAGCTTTCTCCTTCTTGTATCACTTACTCCACATAACTCTCCACACTAATCGGATGGACCATTCAACTTATCTGAAATAGCCCCTTTGTTTTTCAGATTGGGTGTCGATAGCGTAAAGGTGCATCCCCAGTTGATTCGCCGAACGATGCTGATGACAGCGCTTGTAGTTCTGCTCCCTTGATTACTGCAAGCCAGGGCGCTGACTTCTATTCTAGTGAGAGGAAGTTTTGCAAACGTGGGTATAAACAGCCATAATACAGCTCGCTACAATTCGACGCAATGAAACGAAATACAGTCCACTATGTTACGCAATAGCATATTCTTCTGTAGTATCTCCAGTGTTTTGTATGCATTAACAAGCTCGATGGACTAATCAAAACACCTTGTCAAAGTGACAAGCAAAACAATGATGCGAATCATTGCTACAAATCGACTAATTAGCTCCTCAACCCGACATTCTGTTTAGCAACATAACACAAGACATGCGCTATGTGCGTTGGGAGTGGTGATGAGTCAGTGGTTTTGTCACTCACCTTCGTGCTTTGAACCCTATGGTCCGAGGTGCGAGACCCGTCACCCAAATTTCTTGATAGACAGCTTTGCTGTCTTCCGGTCTAAGATGGTTTATATGGTTCGCCACTAAAAGTCCCGAGGTGTAGGTTACCGGTTTCCATCTCTGAACAGCAGGTCTTCGTGACTACAGGGTCCCCCAGTCATCACTCATCGTGTGTGTAATAAAAAGGGATAAATCAGTTAGTTGTTCACGGATTTTGACATCTTTATCTTTCGCTCGAGAATGAAAGCATTCTGTGAACCTAACGAATTTGTGGTTTCCGGTTTTTTTTTTCGCATTTGATCACGTGCTTGTCTTCAAGCAAATTTGTTTTTGTAGCTTTTGCGAGGGTTTGTGAAGGATTTGTGACTGCATTTGATGCGTTGAATCATATCGATTAGAACAGACCCATGTGTGATTTACGGGTCGATCATCCACAGTTTTATCGGTTATTTAAGAGCTGTTTACAATCAAGTTTATGCATGTTTCTCGTTCTCATTCACAGCTTCCGGTCAGCTGCGCACACTGAGCAGTCCCGATAAGGCCGCTCGTTGTCCATCATTCAGTCCCGATGGAAAATGTCTTGTTTGGCTGGAAAGTAGAGTTGGTGGTCCGCATCAGCAGTGCGACACCCTTCAGGTTCTTCGTTGGCCGGCAGAAAACGGAGCCTTGCCCCGGACTGTTGTACCTATTATGGACTACCCGGACGCGGAGTACGCATTTCCTGGTAATGAACTTTGTGTGTTATCGTTTTCGTGTCAATTTTACTTGTCAGTCATTGTTTCTAGCAGAATCCAAAACTACTCCGGAAACTTGATACTACTGTAGGTCTGCAATTGGTATGTGCGCAAGCTGTTCAACTTACCTCCCGAAAGCGGATTAAAGGACGGTAATTGTAGTCGTCAGTCGCATTAAAGGCATTTCAAACTGATTGAATTGCCCACTGGAACTCTTACTTCATGTTGGTTTGTTTACCATTCCTAGCGAATTGGCTGTAAAAGCTCTCTGCCGAGCGCCGAGCGTGCCGGTTGTCAGCACTCGTTGATCATGGATATTGGTGCATCGGATACCCGCCCGAAGTGCCTTGTGTTTAATAGATGACAACAAATGAAATGGATAACTGCTCGATTTCTGCTACGTGCACCCGCTCTCGGAATTCAGGTGTTCTCACTACCCCACAAGCATTCGTGACTTGAATCAAAGTACATCAATTTGTTCAAAATTTTCCTTGACCTTATTTTGAACCGAAAAGTAAATTCGTTTCTTGCCAGGTACCACTCTTCGTTAACTCCCAACTACTTTCCTTAGTCCTCTTTTTCCCAATCCGGTGTCTGCAAAATATCATCACCATTTTATCATTTTTTTCTCATTTTGATTCATCAAACTGTGAATTCCAAGCCACGTGGTCAAAACGTCGGTTTACTACCTTTAAAGTCTGTTTTTGTGCCGTTTACTGCACCCCAGGAGCAACGACTCTTGAATGTGAGATATAATAACTTTTCAAATTGACATATTGATTACGGTAAACTCCAGCAACAATTGTCGTAGATTTCAAAACCCAAAACAAAGAATGGCTGTCTCACTCCTTAACCACTTGGTTTGTGGCCCGCGAATCAGAGGGCTTTGCTGTAGTCAACATTCTCAGTCAATCAGTTTCCATCCCCACATTTGGGTACATTCGTATTGGTGACCGCCCCGCACACCCTTGATCTCATTCTTACATCCATTCCTTCTGTCTCCAATATCAATTTTCCCTCTCCCCGTGGCTGATTAATCTGTTCCTTCATTTTACTTGCCACACCCCTCACTTAACTCCAAACACAGCGTTTGGTGATACATCTCATCCAAGTGGGATGGTTTCCGATACTATCTGGAATGACCTAACATGTCCACTTCTACTTCAAGCTTCACTGAGTTTGCTCTTCAATGCATGTATCTTTTTTCTCTCACACTTTTCCATACCTGGTGAACCACATTTCCCTGGGTGATGTAACCGTACATGTAACCATGCTGTACGTGAAAAAGCCCAACATTCTGCCATTGATGTCACTCACTCGATTAAATACCTTACTGCTCTTTCGTACAAGCCAGAAACATGTACACTGTAACTGTAGAGAGCTAAGAGTCGCTTAACAAAAAAGAGCGCCTGACTTCGTCCGCTACCGGTAATTGCCAATATGGATTTTGCCCTTGTCGTTCCACGGACGACCTGCTGGCTCTCTTGGTCGATCGTCCCGAGAAGGCCATGGTGCTACAGCTGTTTCGGCAAATATAGCGATTGCGTGAATACCATCAAAACTTCTCTGTGTAATGGAAATCTCCAAGCAGGGGAAACTGTGTTTGTGCACCAGAGCTAGACTAAGGCAATATAACATCATTTGATGTGTCGCCCCTGTTGTGGCTGATAACGGATGCACTGGTGTCGCCCCACCCGTACCATATCAAATGTCTCGATCGATTTCAGGTATCATGGCTAAAATCTAAGACAGCGATCAAAATGATTGTTTTTTTATCCAAGTGGTGAGAGCCAGTTTCGGTTATCAGAATGCCTATAACCACTTTTTGAAATTAATCGGTTTCATTTCCCAACAGCAGCCTTTCGTGTAGTTTGGCGTTTATCAGACGGGACCCTAATCTGTCGGCTGTCGAATGAACCAACAAGGACACACCTAGCGTCGATGAATAAGGTGCTTCGGAGATGACCACACAAATGTCAAAAATTAATGCTTTGCGAATCGCGGCGACTAGGCTCATTAAAATAAAATAGTGGTTTTATCGAAGCTACATCGTGACAATGACAGCTAAAATACGAGGAGGGTCAACCACCTATCATGACACTATCCTACAGGCCATTTCTTAAACCTTTATGCAGGTGAGTGCATGCGTGGGCGATAGCCACAAACTCGATTACAAGACAAGACTAGGGTTAATTCAGTCCTTGACTCGAGAGGAATCCGTGTGTCGTTCCACAACGTTCATCCTGTGTTAACCGGATTCACTCGCCTGTAAATCGAGAATCTCACGCCATCCTGTGTTGTAGTCATGCTTACACATGTGTAGGCTTGTGCACCAGTTCTTGGTTCGAGCCACCCAACAATCGATAGTGATTATATTTTATTGTGTATAACTTTTGCAAGCACTGAAGCTTACATTTCAGCTAATTTTATAATATCTAGAGTCGTAACACTGAGTTTTCACTTGATATTTATTAAACCATTTTTCATTAGTAGTATATATGTCGTTTTGGTTCGTCTTTTTCCACATAGAAATAATCCTAGATAATTTTGCGCATTGTTTTCCTCTGTGTACTCCTTTTAGGTTTGTATGGTGATCTACCGGAACGATGCTGGAGTTCGGATAGTCGTTATGTGGTCATGTCCTCTATTTGGGGGTTTCAATCCGTGACGCTGCTTATTAGAGTCGATCCGGAGGCTAAAGAATCCGGGACTGTCTCAACTACGGTGACTCCCTTACTCCCGGCCGAAGGAGCACTAGAAATAACGGCACCCTATTCGTTCAATGTGTTAGACGTGCATGATGATGTGGTTTGTGCCAGACTTGACTCAATAACAACACCATCTGTTCTCGCCGTTCTTTCGCTGCGTCCATTCACATCGTCGATTGATAGAAATAATGTAAAACCCGAGTAAGAATACGATGATCACTGTTTTTGTGCCTTTTTTTTACCATTGCTCTTTTCATTCTGATCAATATTTGACCGTCAAGTTGTCTCGCTATTCCCCGGCAATTTAGTCTACGTCTTTCTGATTGCTGTTTAGCAGCTTTTCGATTAAATGAGGAATTGTAATTGCGACCGACACATTTGGAGCAGTCATAAAGACCCAAGTCCCTCCCCACCACATGATAACCGGCATCCCAAGGTTTGGGAGCGCGAGTGGCAAACGACAGAAAGCCTGAACGGAATGAGTGTGATATTCATTGCGAGACAATTTCACTGTAGCTCGGCGCAACACCACACAAACGTTTTTAGGGCTTTATATTGTTCACCGTTCCAAGTAGTACTCTTGGTCTTCATGATCTAGCTCTAAACACCTTTTACCTCTTTTACCGTGCCAAACTTACACGGTAGTGCAGGTTTGGAGACAGTTTTTAGTCATACATGTTTACAGTTGCTTGTTCATTCTTCTTCTGGATTGACAGGTGGGTCATAATTTCGTCTTCTGGCGGACCGAACAAGACCAGTGCCCAATTACGACTGTCTGGTGTCGATCAATATCCGTTGGGTGCTGTTGTTCATGAACATGTTTCTTATCAGACTGCTAGTTCCATGTTGATCTGTCCGCGAATCAACTCGCAGAGTAAGGAGTTGGAGACAGTGGACCGTAAGTTTCGTCTTTTGCCTTATTACTTTGCGCGTATCCCAAAAATATACTCACATTCTTTTATTTTTTGGAGGCTCTCTCCTGCGACTGGATGAGTCGGCTTCATAGATGTCCCTGATTACAACCGCCCACGCACTCGGAAAGCCGAAACCGTCTGGGGCCATAACATTCCAAGCCGCATTTCACAGTGCTGGTCCAGGTGTTCAGCTGGCCATTACGACGGCTGCGCCATTCGGACGATGTCGTCGGGGCGAGGGTTTGTCGCATCTGGTTGGAGGCTGGTCTACCCACTACATGGCCGAACTACTGCAGGGTTCGTCGATAAAAGAGTGCATAGTTTCTGTGTTCTCAGACAGCGCACGTGAACCTCAGCGTTAAAGGTTCGGTCCCACCATTTCACTCTTGCGATGTATCAAAGGCATCAATGGTTGAAGATCTCCAGCTGTCTTACGTAAGAGAAGTTGATTGGATAGCGCCTGTCGATAGTTCTTAGTTTTTGGCATACTCATCTCTAGTCTGACGATTCTCTCTGGAGGTTCGATGTGGTTGACGATCGGCATCCGATCATCCGGTGTCTCCCCAAATGTGACAATCTTCCCGGCATACTTGCGGTCCGCGACTCAAGCAATCGAACCAACCGGAACCCCGTGGTAGTTCGTAAGCTGGTCGCTTACCAGTCAGTCTACGGCGTAGTTAAAATAACAAAGGCACCCTTGCCGAACTCAAAATCTAGACTGAACTCCTCAACATAGGCTCAGATTCGCAATGGAGTGTTTGTGTAGTACGACTTCTGCAGTACTAGTAGATTTTGTGGCATTCTGCTAGCTTGCCATATTTGCCAGGAGGGACTCCCTGTTGTCGGAGTCAGGGCGGCCCGGGAGTCTGTGAAGCANAGCATGAGACCGTTGGTTGCTGGAACTTTCGTCGGTGTTCCACCATTTGAAGAATTGGCTTCCTAGTCCCCTTCTTCAGTGAGAATTGGAATCTTGACAGCCAAAGTCTTCCCACAGTCCTCATTCTTAGCCATAACTATTTTTCAGTACTTACACAGAGTTGTAAAAATGATACAATTACCCTATCGGGCTTGAAAGCCAAATTTTCACTGGAATATGGAAACGTTATCGAAAGTGGCATTTTGCGAAAGTTTCCTCTCATCATCAGTTATCGTTCATCGGCCAGACATTTTCGCAATATTCTGTATTTAGCTGCGTGAAAAGAATGGTCTAAAATAATATCTATTTTGTTGTTTTCATATTTCACACAAGTTTGAGTTCATACTGTGTGCCAGACAAATCGCAGTAAGAGGACAGACTGTGTGCCAAGCAAATCATGGTACAATAATCTTTATAGAAAAGAAACGTTCCATGATTGGATTGTGGGCTGAATACTGCCGGGTTGCCCAGGCCAGGGCAGGTGAATTTTCCTGATGAATTCACGACCGGAGCCGTCGGCTAGCCAAAGCCTGACCGGCAAGTTTATTATTATTATTTATTTAACACCGGCTTGAGATCAAGCTTGGTGCCAACGCCATAACAATATTAACAACAATAATAATGAGCGGGGGGGGGGNATAGGGAAAGAATGTAGCTGGCTGAATGGGGGATTACGAATAAAAGGAATAACAATTTTTTGTTGGTGTTTCACTGCACACGTTTTGAATTTTGTTGCTGTTGTTGTTATTTTTACGGGGTACGGGATTTCGATAGACAGACCGTACAGCATTCGCGCCACTGACTTCTATTCTGGGCCATATCTCTCAGCGTCTTTAACCAGCGAAAATCCTCATCCCTTGGGCCCCAACTTGGAAGGCGGGCTGCACTAACTGAAGCCAAAGCTGAAGCCAGCTTCTTCATACCTCTACGCCATGTCTTGGTCTGATCGCCACGGTACTTCTTACAGCCTTGCCCGGCACGTTTTCAAAGAGAGCACGGAATGGTAGTCGATGGGCAGGCATACGCAAAACGTGGCCAAGCCATCGGAGGCGGCGTAGAGCGATTACTTCTGTTAGGGAACGACTATCCACACCCAACACACGACGACGGACGTCGTCATTACTCACCAGATTTTCCCACCAGACACGAGCAATGCTACGGAGACGTCGTTTGTCGAATACAGAAAGTCAATTAGCATCCTCCGCACGGAGAGGCCAGGTCTCGCTCTCGTAAAACAGAACAATACGGATCACGGCGATGTACGCCTTTCCCTTAATGGAGAGTCGGATGTCACGGCGGCGCCACAGGTGTCGCAGGTTGGAGAAAGCTGCTCTAGCTTTCGCTATTCGTGATGTGATCTCGTCCCCAACACCACCACCAGCTGCAATCAAGCTCCCGAGGTACTTAAAGTTCTCAACTACTTCCAGCGGATCACCACAGAGGGTGAATGAAGGCACAGGCTCCTGCCAGTCTTGAACAAGCACTTTGCACTTGGAAGGTGCAAAGCACATACCATATCTGGCTACCTCGATCGCCAAGCGGTTCAAAGCCTCTTGGACTGCCTGTGTGTTGTCACCCAGCAAAACGATGTCATCGGCATATTCTAAGTGCAGAACTCTGTTCCCTGGAAGGCGTTCGACTCCACCGTTTGCAATACCGGACAAAGCATTCTGTAAACCATCCTCTATGATAAAGTTGAAAGTTGAATATAGGGCAATCTTTTCAAACTCCACTGGAGACGGCGAAGGGTGGCGAAAGCTGGCCATAGGCCCTAACCTCGCCCTGAGGTATGACGATACAACTCTTTGAGGATCGACAGATACTTCTCAGGTACTCCATTCCTCAACAAACAGTTCCATAGTGCGGTCCTATCGACAGAGTCGAAGGCCGCGCGAATGCCCAAGAATACAATGATCGTTGGTCTTTGGTAGGCATGACGGTGCTCTAGCAGTTGTCTGGTGGTGAAGATTTGATCGATGCATGCACGACCAGCGCGAACCCAGTCTGCTCCTCACAGGTCTGCTCTTCACGCGTGGTGTACAATCAGCGGAGAATGACGGACGCCAACAGCTTCGACGCTATCGGGATGAGGCTTATACCCCTGTGATTGGTGCAGTCATTGCGCGGGCCGTTTTTGAAGATAGGGACAACAATCGATTCCCCCCACGAGGATGGGACTTGCTCAGTGTTCCACACTTTGGAGAACAGGACGTGGAGTTCTCTAACAAGCTCTATTCCACCATCTTTAAATAGAGCAGGGGGAAGGCCATCGGAGCCCGGCGCTTTGTGACGACCCAATGCTTGGATCTCCTCGCGGATTTCCGTCTCAGAAGGTGGGTGTGTTGCGACAGACCATGGGACGTGTGCCGGAATAGCTGCGTGGTGGCCAGCTAAACTGTGCTTTGAAGTGCTCCGCCCAGCGTTCAAGATTTCGTTGTTGATTGTGAATTGGCGAACCATCAGCTTTGCAGATTGTTTCGCTCACACCCAAGGCTTTCCTACCAGTGACCCGGATGAGATGAAACAGCTTACGGGAATTTCCCATGGCGGAAGCACGTTTCATCTCTGACGCGCGTTTGGTTCACCAGATCTCGCGGTCTCTGCTTAGGCTTACGTTGAGGTTACGACTCGTTGCTTGTCATATTTCATCATGCTCGCTGCCGGTCGGGATTAATCGGCGTGCGTCGAGAAGCCGTAGAGATTCCGCAGAAATCCAGGGTGTCACGGCACGACGTGTCAGACCACAAATAACTAAGCCTGCAGCATGCAGAGCATTCTGGATAAGCGACCAGTGCTGGTTAACGTCATCGAGTAGCTTTTCAGCTAGCGCGTTCTGAAAGACAGTTCGGCGTGCTGGTTCAGACAACTGGTCATAGTCTAACCGTCTATGTGTCAAGTGTTTGGAACGCCCACAGAAGGACATGGACAGCAAGGCAGCGGGGCGGTGTGTGGAAACCGCAGTCCATTGGGACTCGGTATCCAGTTCATCGGATCATTTGCCCTTCGGACGAGGTCATACGTCCAAGGTGCCCGATACACCTCAATGTCCAATCCATCCGGTGACCACTGCTACAACCAGAAAGGTGTGTGTGTGTGTGTGTGTGTGTGTGTGTGTGTGTGTGTGTGTGTGNTTCGTAAGCCTCCTCATGGTTGGTTTGAAATCAAAGTTTTTGGCCAACTTCTCTAGTTGTACTAACAGTGGTCCACCAACCCGGTTATAGCCCCGGATGTCGACTTTTCGTCCTCACTTTGGTGGGAAAACATCGCCAGGCAGTGAGTTGGACTTCCTCAGCAGAGGCTATTCGATCTGCCTGGTCGTATAGGGGCATTGCACGAGGTTCAAGGGCAGGGTGACCAGCTGAAACCCTAGATACTCATCCCCGATTATACCGAGGCTTTTGGAGGCTTCTTGAGGAATCCACAAACAGGAGCCCTCGAATAGCCAAAGCCTAACCCGCAAGGCAGCGGGGCGGTGTGTGACAATGAAATTTATTCTTCTAATGGTTTTCCATTGCTATATTTCACTGTAGCAGGTTGTTCGTGGTTGTATCAGCCGGTTTTTCATGTGAGTTTGGTTGTCATACCGACTAGGAGACCAGATAGATAATCGTCTACTTTTTTGCCTACAGTGAAGCGTTTGGTACAAATTCTAAATATTTATCCTAAGGGCTCTCAATTTTCACTGATTTATTGCTACCACCCTTTCGTAAACCGTTTACAAGTTCCAGTTGACCGTAATGTCATCATCTTATTAAACAAGGTCGCCCAAATAGTGGTTTATACAAACATGCGAATAATAAGTAAGGCGATTTTGGAGTTGATTACAAACTCTGGTCTCTAAAACTGCCACAAAGATTAGCAGTTCAAATTCTGTCCTGTCATTTTGGTCTCATGGTTCTCCTCATCCAGAAAGACCGAAGCGTACTCACTGGAACGAAATAATAGCTCATTCGACCATCCAAGTTCATAGGCTTGGTTTGACGCACGGTTGATAATCCTTCGGTACATCGGTATTCATTGTTGTATTTCCTTTTTTGCGATAGATAGCTTCACGGTCGCTCAGCTCTGTACAATCCCTTTCTTATCGCCACGCCAAACCCCAGGCTTTAGGCTGCTGGCTTCCATTAAGGAACACTACCAATCTTTTTATTCTTTATCACAGTAACGAGTGTAACAAACAATGCGACGTATACGTAACTGAACGAATTGCAATACACACAAATAACCAATCTACTTGAATTCTACGACCTGTTTTTATTTTCTGATAGTCTGTTCATGTATCATTTCTACTCACTGTTATTTAACCCCAAATTCCCGTTTATTGACAGTGCTGAATCACGAGTTACAAGCGCTCTCTTTGACAGAACCGCTCGATCGACCTGAACGTGTTCGCGGCCTGATTGTTTTCCCCCACGGCGGACCACATGGTGCCTTCACGGCGTGTTGGTCTCCGTTGATTGCTGGGTTTCTCGCTTCCGGTTTTGCTTGTCTACTAATCAACTATCGCGGTTCGCTCGGTTACGGTGATCAGGCACTTCGCTCCATCCTGGGACACATAGGAAGGAACGATGTTGAGGATTGTGTTACGGTAAGTGACGCGATGGCATTACGCTTGAGCACACCTAATCCGGCTTAAGCTAATACCTCTTCATCTTGATCTCAATTTGTAGGCTACCATGACAGCGATGAACAAACTTCGCGAACTACTGGGTACAACTGTACCCGCTGTGCTGTTCGGCGGTTCACATGGCGGTTTCCTTGTGCTTCATCTCGCCGCTCGCTATCCGTCTCTATATCGGGTGGCGGTAGCCCGGAATCCGGTCACTCACCTGGTCTCATTGGCCGATACAAGTGACATTCCTGACTGGACTTTTACCGAAGCAGGCTTGCTTCGTGGCCATGAGGAGTGGCCGCTGTCTCATATCACCGATTTGGACGACTTCAAACAGTTTAGTACCATGTCTCCTTTGAATCAACTCAAATCGGATTGGTCTGCTCCATTGTTACTACTGCTTGGAGCCAAAGATCGTCGGGTGCCGATGAGTCAGGTGTGTTTTCTCTTATGGTTATGAATGTAGTTAAAATGTTCTTGGAAAGTCATTCACTTTTTATACAAGTGACTACCATCTTAGTTTCTGAGACGAAAGCCTCGGTGTGGTCGAGAGTGTATTGTGTAACTTTTGCAGGTACTGGGACCTTACATTTAAGTAAAATGATCATACATGCCAAACTTCACATGGAGCATATATAACGAGGAAAAACCGTTTACAGTCAAAATTTTGGCAGTTAATAGTCCAAGGGTAGGACGAAGTTCATTTGTTAGCCTCAAGGAGAACAATATTTAAAATAATAAGAACAACAAACTCTGTGGGGACGAATTTTATCGCCACATACAAGCTCTTTATAGTTATCGCATGCATGTCGAAAAGGGCTAGGTTATGCATGTTTTGTTCATGTTTATCGGAATCGCCTGTTTCTTTCCCATAGAATGATTCAGTCGGTCCTCTGTCGAACTATAATGATGTCAATAATTTGCCGTATATTCTATTCCTTGTTGTATACTTTCTCATTATTGGCGCTATTCCTCTAGTGCTTGTTTCGCTCGTAAAATAAAATTGATGCAGTTAAATGTGAATTAATGTTACTTTCCCACTCCTTGTCCCCCTTCTCTTATATTTCAGGGTCTCACCTTCTATCGAAAACTGAAAGCGTTGTGCCCCCACGTCCCAGCTGAAGCAATAGTTCTTCCAAATGATGCGCATCCCTTGGAATCCCCGGTGGCCAGTGCGGTGTGCTTCACGTCTTCAGTCACGTGGTTCATACAACATTTGGAATAATCCGGTGACTCTACTTNCTAATATATAATTCTTCGGTATGCTCCAGTATTTTCATTCTGTTCAGCACGAACTGTGGAGGAAGGTATTCACGTGCACAATTGTTGTGAAAAGTTGCTGTATCCGTTTCAGATATGTCGGCCGCAGATGATGCATTGGATAGCTTTCTCGGGGATGAAGATGATTGGAGTGTGTTCGATGAGAAGGTAAGAAATGCGTCTGTTTGCCATCCGAATGATTCGGGTATAATCCTACTTTTTGAATAAGAGTTGTTCAAATCTCTTCGGTCATCCCATTTTTTTTTCGGTGTCCTTATCCTTCTCTGTAGACTCTACCTCAACGGACAGGTGCCATCTTTCTCATCGATTGCACTCCTTCCATGNTCCATGATGGATTTAAACGCAGAAAATAAGAACGCTCAAATTTCCTCTTCTTGCGGGTTCTATCTGGGTCTGTTGGCCTGTCAAACGGTTCTACAAAACAAGGCAATCAGTTCGCCCACGGATATGATTGGTCTGGTCCTGATGCGAACAGTGAGAGTCTTTTCGTATTCTGTCTTTGACTACTCACAAGTAGACATACTTTATCGCGCATATTTGGTGTCGGTCTTCTTTTCTGTCAGAGTGCTTCATCCTTTGATTTCTCCGACGTAATTTACAACCATGAGTGTGGGTCATGTGGGCATAAATAAAGTGATCACCGAAGACACGGTCGCTGAGACATATGGAAAAAATCAACATCTGAGCTGCTGCAAAAGGATTAATAACTGACGTATTCAAAAACGGGCGTGTCAGCAACATAAGAGCAATACGCTACTAATCAAAGTTCTTTTTCCTCGTTCTGATGTTGTCCGGTTTTTTTGTCTCCAAAACGTCAGTACACATGGTCTGCAAACTACCGAGGTTTTGTTTTCTCACTTTTCATTCAACGCGGCTTTCTGTACAGCAGGGGATCTTTAGGTTTTGGTATTGGTACTCGTTTGTCAACAGTCCCGTGTTCAGTTTTCAGTTCGGTCGAGATGAGGACCGTTAGTGGTCAACTTCAAACTGTGCATTCTGCGAAAGTGTAATCATTCCGGTGTGATGTATACCGTGCGTAGTACACCGTTGTCGTGTTGAATGGGTGCTAATTCACCGATCGTCGTTACGAACAGAGGCAAAGGGAAACATTAAACTATGTTTTTATAGGTTTTCGCATCTCGATTGTCGTTCGAGGTTACTATTTGATCTGCGAACCACCTCCGGGAAACGCCAACCGGGCCATAATTAATCTTTCATCGTGTACCCCTCCACTTAATTACTGCTCCGGGTAGCATGCACAAAAATTACCTCATCCGTCTAGGTTTACCGTTGCCTCGTCACTATATGTTTCACTTTCTCCCACTAGGATGTCTAAAAGACGTGGCTCATGACTTATTGTAATTGATACAGAATTCGTTGCCTATTCAATGTGCCTACCTTGTACTTAAGTGAGGGTACCCGATGGATAGTTCTTCTTAAAATCGTTAACCTTGGTTTTATTTCAACTTCTCAATCATTGACTATACTTCTAGATGCGTATCGGATACTTGGCCGCCTTATCCATTTAGTGAGAAGCTGCGGATGTCAAAATTGTTCTACAGACAGGTGGCATTAAGTAGCAATAAGCCGCCTTTTCCTGTAGTCCCGGAGAATATCTTTATGCTAACGGGCATCTGAAGACCAACATGTTTTGTACCAGCTTTCCACCTCATGCCGCTTAAAAAAGAGTGAATGTGATAAGCTGATTTCTTATTGTCGAGTGCTTTCATACGTGTCGGCATCCAAGCCCTGGTAATTGGCTTAAAACTTACGGCAAATTGCAGATACGCACCTGACCGACCTTGGAGAATCAACACAGAGTTACGGAAATCAACGCGCAAAACATACTCATGTTCAAAGTGTCGCTATGATTTTCTCGTACTTTATGTATACACATCTTTGAAGGAAATTCCTATATTCAGTAGTACGCTAGATTTTCATACATCCTCTAATTAAGAGTACCTATGACTTATGACACCAGTGGTCAATTACACACCTTCACAATGCACATCTGTAATACATCGCTGACAGTGGGTTATCCGTGAACGGGTCCAACTAACCTGCAAGGCGGGAAAAATGAACTTAAACACGAACTTCTAGGTCCAGTGAAATATCCAAAGAACTCACAGTCAATTTACAAATGTTTTTTCATTCATACGACCATAGCGTTGACACGTTATACAACCTTTTGTTTACATTTGCCCCACCCCCACTCTCACAGCGCGTTGCATCCGCTCAAAACCAGCCGAACATTTATGTTTTGCAGGTAAATACAACCCAGTTTGCATGTTCCATTAGTTCGCAAATTGGATTACTTTCAACTGGATTCCTCCTGTTTTGTATCGACCTCAATCATCACTGAATGAGTTAAGCAATGTTCTAGTTCTGTTTCCTCATATGATAAAGGTAGTATCTGTTTCGTTTTCAATCTAGTAACACAATTATCGAGTTTTTTTAGTCTTATTCTATTATTTTACAGAACACTTTTACAACTTTTTCTAAACTGAAGGCCTGGTCTTATTCAATCAGGACGTCGAATAGATATTTAGATCTGAACGGGACACTGTGTTGGTCCATTTGAGATAAGGGTTTGGTAAATAGAACTTCCAANAACACTCAATCGGTCTCATAGATCTTAGGGTCATCGGTTCAAACTGACGTAGCAGATTAACATTTACGAGCCAATCGGAACACTTTCGAGCAATGGTCGAACAAATCTGAAGCAACCAGTCGCAGTGCCCAG